AAAATAATTTTTTAGACTTAAGAATACAAAATTAAATGATCGTCAGATATTTTTGAAAGTAATAATTATAAGTAGTATTAACTGCAACTTTAACAGGTGCATTTAGCTTAAGAAAGTCTGTATTTTCTATTTAACGAAGACAATTACATACAGGCTAGATATTATGTGATCTTATACAAGAATTCTAGTTAAAATATAGATGGGATAAAATGTATCACTTATAAATACTGTAGTGTTTATTTTGTCGTTGGTTGAGTGAACATAAAATGAGTTCAACGTAACGGTTACGATAATTATCATTAACCACGACAAGTATTACAAAAAATAGCAATCTATTATTACATTTTAAAGCACAATGTTGATAACAATATGTATATTTTTTCAGTAATAATGTAAGGAAATTGATATTTTTTCAAGATTTTTAAATGTTTTTTATATCTTAATAAGTATATAATAAATAAATTATTCTTTATTTTTAAAATCTAAGTTTTTCTATTCACACGCTATTCAAATCACAATGGATAAATTTGTCTTTGTTTCTCTTTGTGAGAAATTGCCGAAGTTATTTAATAATTATAATAAGAAGAAGACAAGGTCTCAAATGCTTATTAGGCAAGATAATTTAATTTACTTTTTAGGGGATAATTTGAAAGTTTTCTGTTTTGAATATAATATACACAATGTAAGGTTTAAATTCTAACAAATATATTAGCGACTGCTAAATCAACGTTTCCTTATTATTATTTTTGTGGAGCATTATTTGCTTCTCGCATTATAAATTTCCAGCTCCATATTTATTATTTAAACAAAATCTGAACATTTTGCACGTAAAACATTTCCTAAATGGATTTTAACTGATCTTGATAAATAAAACAAAACCAGAACAAAGGCTCTTGTAGTTCCAATGATAAGCAAAAGCACGAATATGGTAAGATTTTACGGTTGAGTCAAAAGTTGAGGACGATGACCGGTGAATATGTATGCAACTAAACATTACGTCAAGTGAAATCGGTGATAACCAGCTTGAAACCGGTAACTGAAGACGAAAAACTTTGAATAAAGTTATTAATATTGTAAATGTAAAATGTTATATAAACATTTAAAAGAAAAAGTGTTCGTATACTATGTGGAAGAGAAATGTCGTTACACAAAATCGGCGCTCAAATGCGACCTGAGTGTTTCTTATAGTATGTCTAATAACGAGAAAACTTATAAATCGCAAGTTAAATTGCAATACAAGTAGGAAGTACTGACAACATTCCTGCGATTTTTTTTAAATATCTTGGTTTTATTCATATTAATATACAGGTTGAAAAATCACGTTGTTGTAACTTATACATAAAATTAATTCAACATCTTACCTATTTCAATTTTACTTTATGTAATCTCTTCAAGAAGACTGGAGATTTTAGTTTTTATATAGCTGACGAGTATTCAGTCATTAGTTTAAGCTAACTTTAATGACATTACATTTGGTATATAATATAATTATAAATATTTACAACAATGATAAAATTGATGATTTTATTGTTTAATAAAATTTCATAGAATTATACACCAAAGACAATTTGTTATATAATCTATGACAAAACTGATACATATGTATGCATGTATTTATTTCCAAATTTATTTCTATTATTATCTTTAAGCATAACACGGCTATTATTAAGGCTAAGAAAAAATCCAAAGTTATTAAAACTACTTAACAGTTAAATTAAGTTTAATTAAATGGTAGACATAAAATACTGATACAACACACAAACAACTTAGAGTTTCCTTTAAATGTGAGGTAATTACATCCTTCCATTGTTTAATTTCATTCAAGTCTTGGATATTAAATAATGATGCAAATTATGCTTATTTTGTTAAATAATGTTTATTAAAATGTAAACAATACTCATATTCATTTGCACCTCTGATTTCCCTCACATATTGTTTTATGTAGACATGTATTTATCAAAATGTAATCGGCTGTAGAATGAAACGTAAGTTGTGGGAAATATTCAAAGTCCTTGACCTACTCCTTGGCGTGTGTTGAAGACGGTATCCCACGGATATAAATGTTATTTTTACAAAACACGCGACCAACCTTTGATGAACAACTCGAGAAGACGCTAAACCTGTTCTTAGATTTTATGTCACAAATTTAAAGGTCAAACATGAGCATACTAATGTCTATTATATTAGGTCAAAGGTTATTTCAACAACTATTTATTTTAAGTAATGATTTCCTTGATACATTCTATAATAAGCGTCTATAAGGAATTTTGATACTTATGAAAAAAAACTAATTTATTCAAGCGTACTTTCACAACAGCATATAACTATAGCCACTTATGAATGTGGTTCTGAAATAATTCTTTTAAATGAAGGATTTAATTATAGCTGAAATAATATATAATAAATTTAATACAAGGATACCTTATGTATATATTTATTTTAATTAAAAACAATAAACTATAATAGTATAAGTATATAAACTGTATAAACTGTGCATATAGGTATTTTTACATAAAACTGAGTACCTAACTAATTTAGAAATTATATATTTTTATCATGACATGGCAGAATAGACTATTTCACAAAACAACTCTCCTTGATGCAAGAAGTACTTAGTAATACAAGATGATTCAATAAAAGACATACCTATATTATCTTGTTGGATTTTTATAGCAAATAACATTTGTATGTTTTATTTTAAGTTCTTTTTATTTTTATTTATGTCATTTAATTTTGAGTAAATTGATTATATCTTGGTAATACGAACTAGTAGTAATGTCCAATAGTAATGGTAGCAAAGCAAATCCATTGAAAGCCAAATACATAATATTTAGCTTTCAAAAGGTATGCTTACACCAAGGTTGCATCGTCGCACTAACTACGAAGTGTAAACAGTTTCTCATTCTTAAATCTACACAAAGTAGAGTTTAAATTAGGTTGGTTATTATGTAAACATACGAAAATTTTCATTTCCCGTGTTACGACTCAAATTTATGCTAAGCATTGAGCTGCCGCTCTGTAAGCATGGATAATGGTTTCAAGAACAATAATGTTTCCAAAGCTTTATGTTCCTAAGTATAAAATAAAAAAATATTGTTTAATGGTCTAGTCAAAAACTTTGAATGTATTGACAATTTTTTTTGCTGTATTTATAATAATAGTAGAGATTTAGAACCCCGGTCATCCAGAAGGTTTTAACTTTATGTCCTTTACAACCAAGGCACAGTGCCAGAATTTGCTTAAATCTTGATAAATTCAAACAAAAGAGGCTATAATCTATGTAGACGGACTTCTTTATACAATAACGTTTTAAGTTACACCTCTTTTGGTAATACATAGTCAGTATTAACGTCAAGCTGTGGATTTTAAAAAAAGATTGTCAAAACTCTATAAACAGATATTTTCATTAAACTCTATAATGTCTATAAGTATTCTTCGGCGTCCCATTAACAAAAAAATATTAGACTCTTGTTTTAATGACATTGTTTTGATAAAAAATGCACAATTTTCTAATGGTAAGACTTTGATGTCCGAATGTAAAAAATTTATTATTACTCCGTCGAGATGGCAGTGGCACAAGTTCAAAGATATGTTTCATTATTATTTAATAGTCGGATTAATTCCTGTCGGAGCTATAATATTCTATACCAACGTGTTCATTGGTCCCGCCCAGTTAACGCCAATTCCAGCCGATTATGTTCCTAAGCACTGGGAGTATCATCGCCATCCAATTACAAGATTTATTGCTCGTTATATTCACAATAACCCGCAACAGGAATATGAAAAATTTATGCATTACATTGATGAAGAAGCACAGAAAGTCAAATTACGTGCCTTAGAAAAAGAAGTTATTGAATATATGAAAGACCGTCACGATTACAAAGCTTACTACTATAGACCTCTTTACAACAAATATTTACGAATTAATAAAGCTAGTGGTGAGGAAATATACAATAGACTTGGTGACGATTACGAAGAGTAGAGAAGAGGAAGCATAGTCGGAGTTTTTTTGTAACTGTATTAGAATACATTAATTTCAATTGAAATAACTCTTTAAATTAAATTTCTCATTAATTTTAAAACTCAACACTTCCCTCACACGTGGTTAATTACTTAATATGTGACAAAGAACAGGAATCGCAAATACCCTTTGCCTTAGCTACCTTCTTGTGAACATTCCTTTTATGGGTATGATTATAATAGTGACTTGGTAATGAAATTCCTAGATATAAACTAGTGTGTATAACATAGGTCACACTACAAGTTGTGGCAAAATAAACGAGAACGTTCATCGCTTCTCTAAGGACGTCTATTACCAAGAGATTAGGACACTCTGTATGAAAACTTGGGAGTTCTTGCTACATTGGTTTTATTTGTATTTATAATGGATACGCTCACCTAGCCTTGCGCTCAGTGCGACCTTACATCTAGTGAAATTGAACCGGTACTTATTGTATAGCAATCTGATTGCATTCGTGTGCGGAATTATTGAAATGATTTGGCTCATTATAATAACAATATTGTCTTTTTTATGCATATTTTGAATTTCGTATATATTTTTTATTTTTAGCAACGTACAAAAAATGCTTATCTGGAAAAATAAGAAAGAACGATGGTCATTGAGATACATATCCGAATTTAACAGGGTTTATGAGAACGCTTTATGAAAATAATAACGCATTTATAGTCTTGCTTACAATACGGAAGAAGACGATCGTTATCGATGAAAGAACAAATTCAGTTTGACAAGTACCTTGCGTGAGATAATTTTTATTGCCCTATTACTACATCCATTACTCCATCGATATGCATTAGAGTGGAATCATAAAGCGTAATGCTTAGACCCACGCTCTGATTTCGATTTCACATGACTACATCATTTATTCCATTTTTATAGTGTATAGACAATGAGGGTTTTTGTATACTGCGGTTTCACACATATTTACCCTCTTTAATATGTACTATATTTTGTAGACCATAATTTTTTTTTATTGTTACAGATGTTTACTTTTCTGTGTCTTCTACACGGTCTGTGGGGAGGTAGATATTATTACTGAACCACGTCCTGGAGAAGAGTATGTCTTGGTGAGTTCAGGCCATCAGACTCCTTTGAGAAACTTCGAAACTTCTCACAAAATACCCGAAAAACACCCAAATCATAGGTTCTCGAAGCCAGAAGATGGAGAAATAAAAATATTTAAAAAGTTAAATAGTAGCAAGTTAAAACATCCAATGGAAGGAATAATATCCATCGAAGAAGATAAAAAGGCTTTATTAAAAAAAGGACAAAAAATTAAGGCTTCAGAGTCCATAGAGGTCGATATTCCTACATCAAAGTTGGAAGACTTTAAAATAAAAGAAAATTTAAAGAGTAAGGACATTAATCCTAAAATGGCAGTTGCTTTAGAAGCTATGTCAGAATCGGGCAAGTTAAAGAATAAGGATGGAATAACCACACAAAAACCCATATTAACAACATCATCTCCGGCTTTAACAAAAGCATACGATTATATTCCTGTAAATTTTGATAGTATTGACGATATCAATAGTGGTTTGTTATCTTCAAATGTTAAATTGGAAACAGCTGGTTCCGAACAAAAACAGCACTCGAGAATTCAAGTGAAAAAGGGACCAAATGGACAAGATTACGAATATGAATATATATATTATTATTACGACGAAGAAGAAGAAGCTAAAAAAGAAAGCAAAGAAAAGGCTATAAGTACTACCACAACGTCAACTACGACAACCACAACAACATCAGCGCCAGTTTCTAATTTGAACGACGCTTATGAAAAACAAGATCACGAAAATAAAATATTTAGAGAGTCTAAGTCCAGAGCAAAATATACTACTCTAGACAGATCTAGTGCCACCACGGCGGCTGCCCCAGAAGTGCATAATGAAATACTACCAACTGTTGGAAGAACTCGTAGCCGAGGTCGTAATATTGCCCCAGCGCCAGTCGAAGAAGAATCACAAGAAGAAAGGTAAGATTATATTGTAATATCATAACGCACATGTAATATCATTATTGACAAGTAGCATTAGCTTTACTATGCGCTGGTAGATGTTTAGATGTACATGTAAAATTAGCATGGGATGTAATGTAGCAGGGTTGTAGAACTAGATTAATAACAAATAACTCAAAGTGGATAGTTACCATCCTCCTGACATCACATCCTGCCTTTTTATGCACGAGTCCATGTGAGGTCCCTGCACCCCGAAGAAAACACTGGAATGAGGAAAATAAGTGTACGTACAATACTTCATTCTTTTTTACCAGGCTGCCGTCGAGTACACGTTTTCCTCCTCGTGGACGTAGTTTTACTACTGCAAGTTCTACTACTTATGTCCCTGAAGTAACATCCGAGTCACGGCGACAACGTGGTCGGTCTCAGGTTGATACTGTGCCTAATGAATCGGTTAATCCTAATCGAAGCAGAATGCGTGCTCATATCAGGTATTGTAGTTACTTATATATTCTAACGTGTACTATTCTAACAGTCTAATAATCAAATTGTCTGCACTTCGCTTAAAATAAAACGCTAAATACATTTTTTATTTAATTCTATAAAATACACTTTCGCTTCTACTGTGGTGATTGGGAAAGGTTTATTGAACCTGCACTTCTATCTTATTTTTAAAATATTTTGATCCTTATGGTTATTTGCCATCTTTAGCTCTTTCTTATTTCGTAACTTTGTAATTTTGCTTAAGATACTCCTATAGAAAACTGTAGAGTGCTTTATTCAAGTAATTAAAAATATGATTATATTTAAAATATATAGAGTAAACGGATAAATAAAACTTCTACACTGCGTACTTGTTAAATGTTACGTACAAAGTGTAAAAGTGTAAAAATCAGTATCTACAAATGTCTTACACAGTTCCTTCATATTTCAATATGCCTTAAAAATATATAATAAATACATTTATTTATTTTTTCATTTTCTCGTTATTTTACAGGCGTCCAAGCTCTGATTTAGTTGATCTTGACAGTTTTAAAGTTCATTCTGGAGACATTCCTTTGGCATACAAAAGACCACCGTCAAGGTATTCATCAGAGAGCAAAACCACAACAGAATTCGTTGAAGCTGTCCCAACTGTTAAAGAACCTTCGCATGTTAAGGAATTACAATCAGAAAGTCATAGTCCTTTAAACAATGCAAAGTTCGAAGAAATAGTTGAAGATTCGAAGTTGCCATCAGATTACCAGCAAACCACTGTGTCTGAACAAGATACTACTGAATATACAACAATGACAGCTATGGAAAAAGTAGCGTTAGACTTATACGCCTACTTAGCTGGTGAGAACTTAAATAACGAAATTAGCCCATCTAATGACTTGATAAGCCCAGATGAAAGTACGACAGTGGATGACGACGGCTGGACAACTGAACAAGTTACTACTACTGAAGAAGAGACAACCCCAACAACTACTACAACTACAACTACTACCACAACTACTACCACTACAACGACTCCCGAGCCTACCACGACTTCAACTGCTGTTCCTACTCGTGCATCAAGATTTAAGGGACGCGCTGGATCCAGACCTCGCATTTCTGCTTCAACCAGTGCCGCCACAGAAGCCCCACAAGAAACATCTACTAGAGTGAGAGGTAAAAAGACTATATATCATCCTATGTTGGTGATGTATCATGTACCATATGATATAACATCATACAATGGATCGTTGTTTGTTGAATATCGATATTCATTTTTTTCTTACTGTGCTTTATTTATAATTTAAGGCGATAGCGAGAATGCGTGTTTTGAAAAGCTATGCGACTTTGATGCGAATTTATGATAAATAATAATATATTAATACTTGAATTTTTATAGCAATGATAAACATGTCTTTGTCTTCATTCCAGTCTTAAACTTGTTTTATTTCGACGCAGATACAATAAGTACATATTTGTTATCAGGTCGATTCGGTAAGCCTAATGGAACTCGAAAGACCACAGTTGCTGTCGTTGAATCATCGTCCCCAGTCTCCCCAGTTGAGAAACCAGCGCCGAAGGTACATTTAAAATTTAGTTTGTTAAAAAGCGACATGCTTTACAACATTACGTCATGCTTCAGCGAGCGCCCGCAATGCGATTGTAATTACTTTTAATAAACTTCCTCCGTATATATTTGATAGCTCACTTTTCATAATGTCACTTACCTACATGCAACACAATAATATACATTCACAAATATCTATAATAATTTTAGTTCTATTGTACGTAGTCAACAAAAAGTATCTTATCTTTTCAGAAGTAATGTTACGATGTAAATCTTTATTTTTTTATAAATCTACATAAGTACAAGAATTTCAAGTCACTTTAGTAAATTATTAAAATTTGTTTAAATTTATATTTCATTCCTTAAACTTACGACATTCTTAACTCGTACAATACGGGTTCAGCCAAGCTCAGAATATGAGCGGAATAGTAATGAATGCAATGAATTTATTTAAAAAACCTTTATTTATTTTTTATCATATTTTTTGTATCATTTTAACACAACATAAATAAGGATCGTTTCAGATTGTTATCTTATAAGTTATAACCAACAGTTCCTTTGCTTTTTGCTGATGTGCTTACTTTTACTTTCTCAGGTTAATTATACTCTATAATATTACCAGTATTTTACTTCAACTATGTTGCGCAACTTGTGCGTACAAAAGGTATAAAATTTATATCATGTGCGCATATTTTTATTCTAACTTATACCCCTCTAACTTTTTGAATCCAGATATTGTAATATTTACATTATATATTTTTTATTCACACCGTCTACCTGATCCAAATCAGGGACTTCTACAACATTTTTATAGATGATATAAGTGATGTAAATAATGAATCGGTTGTGTTGTGCAGCCGTTCGGTCGTCGTGGACTGTTTGGAGGTCGCACTCGTCCAAGTTCGACTACCGCCGCTCCGAGTGAGGAAGCCAGCAGTGTGGCTAGTGAGGCACCAGTCACAAGGTATATTGGTATACAAACAATGGCTTTCATACAATCAATGGCTTTCAATTACAATCAATGGTCACAATGCTCAAACTGAAAATATAGTACATAAATGTCATTTTTCCATGACCAATAACTCCATGTATTAGAGACTATAAAAATCCATTGAACTATCAAGAAAGATCATAATTTCTATACTTCTGATAGTAATAACAGAAGCTTTAAAATAATATAGGTAATTGTGATACAATGTTTTATTATTCTTGATTATTTTAGAAGCCGTCTGCGCCCTGGATTGAGAAGGTTGCCATCAAGCAGCGTAGCACCATCATCTACTGAGGCACCGGATACCTCAGCTCCTAGCGGTAGTGTTAGTACTGCTGCTGTTGATGCTGAAACAACACCAAGGCCCTCTAGAACCATCGGGTATTTAAAAAAAATCATATATGAAATTAAGGCATAAAGCAGTTTTAAAATATCGAGACCTAAAATTTTTACGCCTTTATTATAACGCAAAATCAAACTCATATTTAATTTAATTAAATAAAAATATTTAAAGAGGTTGAATACAAATAGAAACTAATGCAATAATTGTATTTATTTCTACTAGCCGCAAACCTGGTTTGAAACCGGTTGCTCTACGTCCGGGCCCTAGACTAGGCATTAAGCCCATTTTAAGAGGGAGACCCGGTTCCTCTAGCGCGGCGCCTGTAGAGACATCTGAGGCCCCAGCAGAACTACCCGCTTCCGAAGCACCAGTTACAGAAGCTGAACCAGAGGTATTATATTTATAGAAACAAACTAAGTAAAAGTCTTAAGCAAAGTTAATTTACACAGGCCTTACTCATTTACAATTGAAAGTATATCAAGGTTACCAACTTTTAAACTTATTGTGTCAACTTATACTGCTATGAACCTGCACCAAGGAATGTTGAAATTTTCCATTTGAAGTAAATCATAAATTCAAATAACTTCATGCAAATTTTGTCATAGTAATAACATAGATTTCCTATAAAAACTAAAATATTGAATTCAAGTGAGTTATATGATTATACTAATATTTTATTCAGTTGTCATCACCTGCTCCGGTACAAGAACAACCACGCGGCCTGTTAAAGAATCGCAACCGTGTTCAAGTGCAACCTTCTCCCAAACCACGAGCAGTCGTCTCACCACTACCACGACGACCTAACCCGCTACTTAAGAAGAGACTGCCTTCCACAGAGGTTAGAATAATCAAACTTATCATGAAATACACGTGCAAAGTGTATTAAATTTTAAATAATAGTTTGTAGGTTTTTTTGCTTTAAACACATAAAGTTGTATGAATTTCCATAGTTTATTTATTTTTGCTAAGAATTTATATTGTATGGTATTAGTATACCACATTACTATAATGACTAGTAACTGACAGTTTTTTACAATCAGTTCTAGATTTATTGTTACCTATTATTGGTTATTTTACTTATTAATATCATATGATAGGCTACAACGGAAGCTCCTAAAAAATCTACCGAAGCCATCGAAGAAAGCACCAGCGTGGAAAACGGAGAAGCTGAGGAAGAGACTGAAGCACCCGTACCAGAGACGACGGCGGCTCCACCTCTGAGGGGACTTGACGCGCTGATAGCAAGAAGACGTGCAGCCGGCGTTGGAGGCCGTCCTGTTCGTCCCGTTCGACGTGCCGGCGCCCCAAAATAATTTTTCTAAACAATAGTGCCAGATATACACTAGTCTGATGCGATAGCGACAGAACTATATCATCTAATGTTCTCAATAGCATGTATTAAATAATGATACATATTAAATGTATGAAACCGACAATCTTCGTCCATTACAACATAACTCGACAGACTAGTGTATTTCTACTATAATACTCGTACATTTATGATGGCGTTGCTCGTAAATCCCGATCAAAGTGATATTATATACCCTCTGTTCGAGTAAACGTCTATCATAAATGTTAGTCAAATTACTCCCCTACTTAGATATTACTTTAATTCTCAATATATCAGTAATAGTCGTACCATACGTATAAATAGATATTATATATTTTATTTTTAACTGTTTATGGTGTTCTCCACACGTAACCTTTTCAATTTATAATTTTCATTCATAACCTTAACATTTGTGTAATGTACATATTAGTAATAAATGTTATTTTTGTAAGCATGTATTCAGGAGTATCTTTTGGTAGCCTCGTCCATGGCTTTAGTTATCTTATAAACCAAAATAATAACATTCAAAATCCATTGTAGGTGGAAATATCCTTATCGCCAAAGTGCCTAGAGATACCCATAAGATAAGCGACGTGGACGCTATCTTTATTAAGCCTTCATATAGATATTCTTAAATTTGTTATTTTTTGTCAAATTCGGACAATACAATTCAGCACCGATGATTTTTTTTTTATTGCAGCAAATTTTAATGTAACGGCAAACATCGGGCTAAAAGATTTCAGCAGGCGGCTTGTGAAATATAATTAAAATAAGACAATATACATTCAGAATCAAATCTTAAAATTTAAAAGATTCTTACTTTATTTGTTCATTTATAATTTTAGGTTTTGTAGATACATATTTGAAATCATTTTACAAATGTCTAATTATAGTGTACCTAAACGTGTTTATTTATTAAATGAAGTGGGCAACATGTTATTATTGAACGAATTGTTAAAAATCGTTCCAGCAACATTCATTAATATGATAAAAACGTCTGCTGAAGCACTGATAGTTAGTGCCATCGTGATATGTTTTGTATCTTTCGTATGTGTGATAATAAACTAAATAATAAGATAAAGGTTGCTTGTGTTTTATTTTATCCTCTTTACTTTAAATGTAACTTTTCCTGTTTATTATATTGTATATCTAATATTTTTTTCCCCGTGAATAATGTGGAAAATTATTTTTAATAGTTATTTATAGAATATAACATAATTTTAGAAGTTATCAACATTGCATAAAACATTACAATCAACATGAATTGAAATAAAAGAAACGTCACACTTAACTCAGAAAAGTACGAGTATTATGACACAATAAAATTGCACTAGAATAAGTCAAATGAGGGTCAAAAAAACAAATCGTCTGACTATTATCATTTAAATGGGCAATTTTACAATAATATTATTAAGTGTGCAATTACTCATACATTTATATAACCTACACGTTACATATGTATAAATAAACATAATAATGTGGGGTTATGAAATACGGGAATGTATTAAGTATATTTCCCTTATCTTAAATTCTTTACACAATAAAATTCTGACGCAACAGACAGACAAACAGTATTATGATGGCATGGACTTATATTAAAGATAAATTGACGACTCGCGGTCACATCGTCCTGACACTGGACCTCAGTGATCACCAACCAGTCGTTAACGAACCACGCCACGTAACACATAACAACGCATTGTAAGTATTATTATCACTTATTACTTATTAATGGCTTTTTTGTAACACATTAATATTTAACTACAGTAAATAATAAAAAAAGATCACGAATCCACCGGCTAATGTTATACATTTAATAAAAATTCCGGTCAACAACAAGCTAAGCGTGACTTTATTTAATCGGTTAGTTTACCTCAACCTTATTTTACTAGATTTATTACGGGATACAATAATTTTATCTTATTAGTTGTATGATGGTTGAATACTTATTTAAAAAAATCTCATTTTAGAATACTGTAATATACTAAATACTTCTACGCAATTTACATAGGTTATACATCTTAATTGTTGGATTATTTGTCGAAACCGGTTCGGGATACGATATTTAGTCCAGTCTTCATAAACCAAATTAGGTAAATGTTCTGAAACTAGACATATTCAGTGTATTACCACTTAATAATATTTTAGGAATCTATTTTATTTTATTTATTTTTTTGCAAAAAATATATCATTATTTTTTGTGTTTACACTATCTACTTACTTTTAAACTCGATTTAAAACTCGATAAAAAAAATTAACATTATAATTGATGCTAAACATATAATCATATTAGGTGTTATTATTTATTACGTTTTAACTTTAAATTCAAAACTTCTTTCTAATAATTCTAAAATTTATACATTCAATGACAGTCAAATTTTATTTCGGTGAATGAAAAATATTAAAGGTATTATTTCAATTATGGTGTAATTAACTTCTGATTTACACTAATAGCATTCTAGAAAAAACTGTCAAATAAATACAATTTAAAACTTGTTGAATTAGAAATTATTACTTTTTCTTGAAATTTTTGTTAATCTTGACCCTGACCCAGTATCAACAATCAATGTTAAATAAATAATTTCTTGTTAAGACGAACTCGTAGATGTATTGAGCGTCCCACCATAAGCTAATGTCTGTTTAAATAATTAATAACTATTAATTAATATGAACCACCCATTAACTCAATTGATAATGTGTCACTTAATACAACACCTATTAGTCATATTGAACTATAATTTACAAAAAAAGGTATACATAAATTTATTTTGTAACAGTGCGTAAACCATTACAGGCGATAACAAATTTTGTAGGAATGAAATTTTATTATTATAAATCAGATTTATTGAACAAGGAGGTAATTATATGTAATTCATTATTTTTTATAGATAAGACCATGGGTCTCGATATCAAGTCTGTACTGATTGTGGATGGTGTAGGGGCGAACTGCGCGGATATTCTCAACTCACACAACATTCGAGTGACCACAAAAGCAAAGATATCTAAAGATGAACTGCTCAAAGAAATACCTGTAAGTGTACCGAGACTAGAATTGTACAGTAGATATTTCTAAATTGTTTTATCCTTGTCTATATTTCGTATAAAATAAAATCTTACATTCTGTTTGATTCTTAAATATGACAGATGTTCATTTCTGTTACCTTATTGATCAACTTGATGCATGGTTTTGACATCTTGAATCTAATTCTTTCAAAATTTAATAAGGTATGAAGTACATTGAGTTATATTAATTAATTTGAAATCACTTAGAACCATGATGCATTGGTGGTGCGCTCTGCAAGTCAGGTTACTAAAGAAGTGCTAGAGGCGGGAACAAAACTTAAAGTAGTTGGAAGAGCTGGAGCTGGAGTCGATAACATTGACGTGGCCGCTGCTGGAAGCAGAGGAATTGGTGTTATTAAGTAAGTTGCTTGCAATGAGAAGTACATATTATAAAAGCGCATGTGCCAAACGACAAGAATTGACAGTAGCTTAAGTCATTAAAAAATCTTATATCTTACATATAGACATTATAATTTGAGCCTTACTTTAATAGCTGTTATTTTGAATAGTTGAAAAGTTCAGTTGAAGTCAAATAAATAAATGTTACTGAAAAGTAGTCAATGTATTCTTATCATTATTATCACCATTTATTGATTCGAGGCGCTCGTAAACAATTGCGAAATCAATTATATTTGTTACAGTATTGCTTCGTTTTTTTTGTAATTTTAATATTTTCTTTTTATAAAATGCTATATGCAAGTGCCATAGAATTATATCTCTTTAAGTAGAAATATATGCTTATTGCTTTGCGTTTACATAAACTTATGTTTTATGGTGTGATGATGTAATTGTTAGCGCACCTGGAGCGAACGCAATGAGTGCGTGTGAATTGACTTGCGGCTTGATACTGGCTCTGGCACGCCACGTAGTTCCAGCAGCTGCGGCACTCAGAGCCGGAAAGTGGGAACGGACTCAACACACCGGCACTGAACTCAACGGAAAAACATTAGCTATCCTGGGCTTAGGAAGAGTAGGGAGGGAAGTCGCTATCCGCATGAATGCGTTTGGCATGAAGGTACATGTTCTACAAACTTCTCTTTATGATTAAGATTTTTGTTTTTCAATATTTATACATCATAAGATTTAAAAAATGTTGTAAGATCCTATGAAATTCATGCTTTGTGATTTCATTTAAAGATTAAGAACAAAGACAGAGAAAAATCCCTTTATGATATTATTTGTTTTTATAAATTGGGTTTGGAGTTTAAAATGTGTGTCTGCCAATTATACGAGTATAATCTTTTTAAAAGGTAATTGGTTTTGATCCGTTCGTAACATCGGAGCAATGCGAACAGTTCCACACATCAAAAATGGAATTAGATGAGATTTGGCCTCTTGCAGACTACATAACTCTTCACACACCACTCATTGAATCTACTCGTAGTAAGTTTAAAATATTCTTAAGTATTCTATACCTTAGACTTATACCTTCTACCCGTAGTAAGTTATATTCTTAAGTATACTATAAATTATAACTTTTAGTTATGGAATATAACCACGTTTAAATCAAAACATGACACAAAAATTTTCCTGAAATTTAGTCATGTCATTGAATTATGATGTAGCAACTTTTGTTTTGTATGTCTACAGAAAATAACGACGTACCATTTTATCTATTCGACACTTGGTAACAACGGATAAGAATCGATAAGCATATTTTTATTTAAATACACAAATAATTTCTGGAATTTATAGATTTCATAATTAGGATAGTAATAAAACTTGAGATATTAGATAAAATTAGTTTTTGATAGTAGAAGATATAACAATTACAAAATATATTTTATTAATATATTTATACAGTTAAATACTCATTACGAAAATATCACTTTTAAGGTTACAATAATCATATCCTTTCTCATTCCATAAATTATTTATTAATAAAAATCTGTTTATGCCCGATATATGTATAGTATCACAATGCAAAATTTGGTACAAGTGTTCTGTACCTTACCATAAGTTTACACATTGAACATAGGAGACTATCAATGTAGGTACTTACACTAATTATATTTATAGAACATGTGCTTCTTCGTCTACAGATTTTATTAACTCAAACAGTTTGAAGCGCTGTAAAAAAGGTGTGAAGATCATAAATGTTGGCCGTGGAGGTCTAATTAATGAAAAGGATTTCCTCGAAGCCCTTCAATCTCAACAGGTAAATTGATACAATTCTTAAACAGCTTTATTAGAATTTAGTAAAGAAATAAGAAAAATTCCATTTATTAATGTTCAAGAAATATACTCACTCAAACAATGATAAAAGATAATGAAATAACTTTATCCATTGTGCCATGAATATTGGTATATTTAAAAAATATATTTTATTGTTTAAAATATAATTTTTAGTTCTAATGAAGATATGTAGTAATTTATTTTGAGTTAATCAAATTTCGACAAAATTCTTAAAAATGAGAACATTAGCGTTTTCTAGATTATATAAAATACAAAATGTTATAATTAAATCTAATTCATTACCATAGGTTGAGATTTAAATGTTGACTACATGAATTTATTTTAGTATTATATTATTTTTTAGTAAAAAAAAGGTGATTACAATGCAATTGTTATAAGAACTACTGTGACCTATTTTGATTCTTTGCAATATCTTGTGAAATTAAGAAGCTCTCAGGATGTTTCGAAAACTTGTTGCACGAGGTGTTTTGTCTGTTTTAAACTAAACATGAACACGAATGCACAATGATAAATATTGTTTACTAGTATATTTCATTCTCTTTATTCACTTTAATCAGCCATCAAGTAAATCACTTAAAATGAATAAAATAAAGTGGATAGTTATAAAAAAATAAAACTGCCAAATATTATTTTTTATTTGATACATTCTCAGCATGAATAGATTTTGTCCTTTGTTTCTTTGTTAATACTTATGTAAATATTTTAATGTCTTATTTAGTCACTTAAAATTATTAAAAAACACGATTTTGACAATTATTAAAAAGTACTCAGAAATTACCCAGCTAGACAGCTGGCAGCATAAAATAGTCTAACAACAATTATTATTAGTCAATGAATGCAAATAAAAACGATATTACTAAATCGAATAATAATTCAAATGAGTTTGTTTTGGGTCAAAGCCGACAAGTTCTAACGCGACAACAATGTTATATAAATGAATATTTTAGACGGGTTTTCTAAGAAGTTTTTTATAATATCTAACAAGTTTGTAATATAATAAATTACAAACTGGATATGAATTTATGATTTTTTTTAAGTTATTCGAAAACTAGATGAAATTAAACTTATATATGTATTTTATGGTTACATTAGATGTTCGTTGTATTTATGCATAACTTTGTTACAGGTTGGAGGAGCAGCTCTCGATGTATTTGAACAGGAACCTCCAACTGATCCGCTTACATTAGAGATCATTCAACATCCAGCTGTGATCGCTACACCTCATTTAGGTAACTCTATAATATGATGTAACATTGTAATATATTCATAACACCTTAAAATTACACAAGAAAAAATCTTAAAAATTCAGGTGCTTCTACCAAGGAAGCTCAAGTACGTGTCGGACAAGAAATTGCAGAGCAACTGGTCAACCTAGTCAAACCAGGAACATATTCCACTCCGCTCGCAGAAGTTACGCGTGTACTCTCTAAGTAATACAAAAATGATTGACGTCATAATCTCAATATGCCTACATGTATTTAAATGTATTTAATACAGGGTGACTGGTGAATTACTATCAATATTTAAGGAGCATACTCGGTACATGATTCTCATGCGAATTATGTAAAAAAAATAGGCACTTATTTTTTGACAAAATTTCCGTATAAATAAATAAAGTGTGTACACGTTCCAAGTGTTCAAGTGTGGACGCGTGTGGCGGCGTGCTGATACAACAATACGTCACGACACGCGTATGTGTGAGTGTCAGTGTATACCTAATCTGTAGGGTGTTCACACGATGCGTAATTAATTACATAACTTTTGGTTAACTTTACTTAGAAGTTTATTAATATTTATGTTATATTAATTTTTATTTTGTCATATATGATCGTCAAATATCACGTCCTCAAATATCGATAGTAATTCACCAGTCACCCTATATAAAGTTCTACAAATTCTAAATTTCAATATCAGTTTTTCGTATTAACTAAACCACTTATTGCTGTAATAGATAATAAGTATGTATTATGTAATAAATTAAAAAATAAATGATGTTTACTAATATAAACCCAAATGATAAACTATTTATTTTGAGTAAATGTGCAATGTGCCTTTTGTTTGGTGGAGCATTAAGTAAAAAAGATTTTAATAATTGAACTATGATATCATAACTAGTGGCATATTATCGTATAGTTCCAACATAAAATAATTTTTCAAAGTATTCACTATCTATAAGTATGTTTATTGTGTGGTAAAGGAGACGTGTTTTAGTTTTTGTGGATCCGTGAATAAGCGCTTCGTTAACTCTAATGTGTTTAGTAATCGCACCTAGTCTACTTTTTTAAATAAGTGTATTTGTTTTAATTTATACCTTATCACTATACCTCAACTAAAAATATTCAGTTGTTTTGTAATAACAAAATTTTACACTTTTCTATAATGTGGCAATAGAAAAGTGTAATCTTCTCATTGTAAAAAGTGTGATCTTCACTTCTTTTAGAAAAAAATTAAATAGATTTTACACAAGGAGAACAAAAAGAGTTTTCAAAACCGGAATGAAAAAAATAATTAAAAATTAAAATTATTTATTAATATTACTTAGACATAATTTACAAATAGCATAGTTGATATAAAAACATTACTAATTCATCGGAACTTTTAAGTTCAAACCTAAATATCTGATGGCAGTGATATCACTTTAAAACTAGTGGGATAAAATGAGAATGGGGGGAGGCAAGAAGGGTTGGAAGTCTTGCTTATTGACCTCCTCTTCTTGAAAATGTTCTGCCAGACCTCGCTGGTGGAGCGGCATCATTCTGCTCTTCACCTTCGGCTTCCTGATATGATCTCGATGAGGCTGCAGTTAAAATAAATAAACATTTATAACATATGTAATATGATAAATCTCAAATATTATGTAGATTCATATAATGACCATATTTAAAGTTACTTACGTCTTCCAAATCTTCCTCGGCTTGGTTTCGATGGAGCTGGAGCATCTTCATTCTTGGTCTCCCTTGTGGCTGTGTTAAACCGTTTTTTACCTAAGACAGTACAAGTCATTAGCCCATGAAGGTTGGTAATAGAAATTCAGCTCTTTGATTAATCGGAGTTACGCAACTTATTTTATTAACATGACTGAAGATTCAAGTCTTGCAAAATTCTGTGTGAATTCCTACATTATGAAAGCTGCAATTCTATTCTTTCAAAGCAATTTACATTAAATAAATAAATAAAACAAAACATACTGTAACTTGATTTTGCTGGCTGTTCGGGCTGACTTTCGGTTTGTTGGGCAGCTACTGGAGCAGAGTTGCCTTGTTGTTTAGCTGCAGTAAAACAATGATCCCCATTTTATATGGATTATAATTACGACTACTTATATCTCTTGTATTTGTAGTTCAACTCACCTTCAGCAGCCTGAGCTCGCCGTCTCTTCAACGCTTCCAGCAAGTCAGCATTACTCCTAAATGGCCGAACTGCTCCTGAGACTAGCTTCTTTCCTTCTGTTGATGACACTGGAGGCTCGGTTGAAGGTTCCTGTGCTTCAGCTTCTGCTGGATAATCTCCTTCTTCTTCATAGTCTCCCTCCTCCTTAAATGTGGCGGAATATTAATCATATTAAAATTTATTCAATAATAATAATCAAATTCTAATATACATTAGATGTCCCCATAAAGCCTATAAGTGAAATAACAATGTTAGAGTCCAGAAAATCAAATAATTCAATATGTGACCACAAATATAATTGTTGCAATTTTAAATCCCTACATAGCTTTAAATAGATAACCATATATTATATATTAATTAAGTAAAGAAAAATCTTTATTTCTTATCTCCATTATTAATTAAATTGACATGACGTGTAAATCACATAATATTTTTGTGAGGTATAAACAGGATATTAAAGACAATCATAATATAATATGGACCTTCAAAATTTAAATGTTATTTAGCGGTTGTCTGACTATATTTTGCTCGAAGTTTACGTCACAACCTACAAAGAGGTTACAGTCATACATTCCGATGGTTGCATTCGCAATATTTCCATTAAGAACCAGTTCAATCGATTCAAGTGCGTTATTAAAGCGTACGTAGAAATGACAGTGAGGAAAGGGAACCATGTTGAGGTCGCCGTGAAGGTAATTTGTCCATGTCCATCGGAGCTTCGCGCAACTCATTATTTTTAAAAACTTGCCATTCTTTCCAATAAATAGTAAACACTTGAAATAAGTTTATCAACTTTTATTATTTTTAATTATTATGAGTATATTTTTAGCGATAAATAAATAATTAAAATTTATTTATCGCTAAAAATATATATTATTAAAGATACGAATGGAGATATAGAATTGTTTAACGTATATTTTTATTAAGTATGTGATACAACAGTAACATAATTTGATTGTAAACTAAGAAAGAATACATTAAATGCCAGTAACGTTTTCCTGGTTCTTATTTGAGGTGCATTTAAAATATTGTTGTAAAAAATGTTGCTGACATTTACATAGACCGTTCATGATGTAACAGATTTTCCGTATTCGTGATAGACATGGTTACAAAACGATATAAAAGGAATGAGAATGCGGTCCTTGAGAAAAGAAACAGTACCTATTCCATTCATTTTAATGAAGGCAATGTCAAGTTAAGAATTGTTATGGGCAAATCACTAAAACGGTAGTAAGTATTTGACTCGTAAAATACGTTTAAAAGAAACTAAATTTTTAATTTTGAATTTTATGGCCTTAGAAAACAGTGTTAATTTTATTCCACCATAATTATTCAACCTTAACGTATTTTTCGTTTGCTGATAAAACTTTATTTAGTGCTGACGTACGCATGTAGGAAGTTTTATGTGTTAGTCTTTTCACATTCGGGTAGAGATGGCTGGTTTTAAAAATTGCGTAACTTCTGTAACAATATATGATACCTGTATTTATTGTTCCGTTACAGATTAACTGAAACCGCACAAACATCTGACGAAACCAAGTTACAAACGTATTGTAATGTAATACAGTATTTGCGTAAAGACCATTTTATATTATTTTTATAATAACTTATAAATAACCGTTCCCATTAATTTCTTATACAGTTAATATTCTCAAGATCTCATTATTTTCATTTTCCTATTCTATCATATATGTGACATGTACCTCAACTGGAGCCGGTGTTGTGGTGGTTGTTTTAGCTTTTCCAGCTAGACCTCTCTTCAGTAATCCCCTGTTTGGTGCCGCCCTCGGCTCATCATCTTGCGGCCGAGCGCAAGCCATCGCCACACAAGCTAACAGAACGATGCTGAAAACATTAAATTTATCTTCTATTAAATTTTATTACTTGACAAAATATCATAAAAATTTCCTACTATTGACAATCGACAAAACTTATACTATACATATTTTATAAGAAAACATTTTTATTAATTGTTGCTGAATTTTTTGGCACTTACATATTTGTACACTAAAAACAGCATTGCAATTAGTTAACTATGTAAAAATTACACGGATTTGATGTCATAATTTAAAATAATTTTTTATCTCCAATGTTTTCCAAAACAATTATCGTGTGATTACAATATCACAATCATTCTTAATTGATATTTTTTATTGTATTCACGCATAAACTTTCATATAATATTGTTATTTGATCAGTAATTATTATTGATGAACATTGAAAAATCTGTTTATTTTAGGGCATATGTGTATCGATATAATCCATGTTATAAAATGGTATGTCTACCATTGGATAACCAGATACATACTATTTCATCTATGTTTAAACATATAACTATATTTTATGGCAGTAGTTATAAAAATTAGAAGCAGCATTGACTCTTAGAAAAGAGAGATAGAGAAGAAAACTCTGTACCTATAACGAAATGTTTGGTTTCGTGTCTGGTAAAATTTTTATTTCCAATAAATGCATTATAATAAATAAATAATTGCAATAAATGATCGTAATTTATAATAACATTACTAAAGTTTTAGAGTTCATAAACATTAATTATAAGTACACTTAATCCAAATTACAAGCGTTATTAAAACTTAGGGCAGTCGTGTCAAAGACTGTAATTTGAAATATTTGTTATAAATATATAGCTCAAATATTTAAATGTTTTGTACACCTATATTGAAATCGTTAATTCTTGAATAATTAAATTGTTACTAAAAATATTATTATACTTGTATTAATATTCAATACGACAAACCAGACTAACCCCCTTTTTATAATGAGTAACATTTAAAGGTCAAAATTTAACAATGCAAATTTTTATTTAAATGTTATGCAATTAGTTGAGAAGAAGCTTCCTAGTTAATAATCTTCACAAGGCTAGCATAAAGATGTGTGCTAAATAACTGAACAGTTTTAAATGTCAAACACTGCTAGTTACGAGGTTGGGTGAATGTCGCCCAGAGACGGGCTGGTATGTCAGTACGACTCCCCGCCAGGACGCAGTGCGTAAGATACTCCTAGCTCATGACGGTTAAAGGTCAACATGTTATTTTATAGTTGAGTAACAGGTCTTCTTGCAGGGTCGCCTCCAATAGAACTATTTCCGCATCCGCTTCCGATTATATTATTGTACAAGCCTTCCTCCACTTTCTTTATTTTATGTAAGTTCTGTATAATCGACATGATATGAATTCAACGGATGCATTCAAATAAACGTTCCTAATACTAACGTTATAAAGCGAAGAAATCGCGTTGGTAAAAATCTATGCACGACCTTTTGAGTCATTCGTTGCTTTCGAAAATGTATTTATTATAGACACATTGTGTGCATGTTACAATATTCATGTACAATTTGGAAAACATTAATATTAGATTCAAGTCACGCAAGAAACAGTTCAGCTTTCTTTGTCTGAATGATTTAGTAGTTGTGGTGCCCACAGTGAAGCGAATGTATAATGAAATAACCAAAATCCGAGTCATGGTCAGTCGGTCAGAAACCAGAAATTATAGGAATTGGGGTGACCTCGTATCTAAAAAGCAAAACCGCCGGTATGCTGCAAAATGCCTTAAAGCGTGGCGAATTATCTGCATTACGCAGATTTCAATGGGAATTCCCAATTTACTAAAAGCTATGCACGTTACGATATAATGTCACGAAAGCATTCTATTCATAGAATTTCAGTTGCTTCTCAAGTTTCACATTTCTGACAGATAACGCAATATATTGTTATCAGATATTAGACATCCATGTGAAGAATTTTGCACGCGAACCTTCCCACAGCGGTTGTGCGAATTTCCTACGTTATGAAAATACCGTTGCAGTAATAAAGGTGTATGTATTATTAAATATTGTATTACAAAATATAAAAACGGGTTTAATTTTAATGCTAGTATATGTAGGGAGTCATCTTATGGATAAATGTCAATAGTGAGGTTGTGTAACGCAATCTTATTTGCAAGAGTGTACGTTTATCGACGAAGTGGCATATTAATATGAAGCCCTTATTCAAAGGATCTTTCAAGAATTAATCTTGTTATAAACCTCAAGCAAACTAATGGAACTTTTATTTTTATATATAGGTATAAAATGATCTAAACACCTATTAAATGGATATGATAGTATAATTGTTAATATTTATGTAGTAAGTCCTCGAAAAGCAACAAAAGTGAACTGTAGTGGAATTTTAATACTCAATCTTTATTAATTGAGGCCAACAACTGGAAGTAACTGCATTAATTACTTATAACTAGTACTACATATAAGTAGGTAATAATTATAAAATATTGTTTTAATGAAAAAAAGTATAATTGTAAAAAAAAAAATACGTTAATTACATAAAAAATCTTTTTTAATTTAAAAGTGCTAAATCATTGACGGGTTTTGAAGAGCAGTATATAAGTATACGACTATTATTTTAATACATGATGTCGTAAAAAAGGGTTAAAAACACTTATATATAATAATAAAAACATAGATGAAGTTCATCTCTAAATATTGTTTATAAAAAATCTAATTTGTAAATTTATTTTTATGGCTTATGATTAGTATTTTGTTGTAATTTTTTTTTCTACTGAGTACAAAATATCCGAATAGAAAATATTTACCAGAAGGCGTTCTTTTATTTCTCAATACAACAAGATAATAATCAGTGTTGCGTTAGATCTAAACAATTTAAAAGGCATACTTTCGAACAAATCAAGCGTTTACATAAGCTACGTATTCGTGAACTTTGATAGCTGGACGTAATCAACCATATTTTAAAAGTCAGTAAAACTTTTTGTGTCCAACAAATGTCTCCCAGACGTGCATACGTTGCATAACATTTCAAGAACCTGGTACATCACTGTCGTCTTGAAAATTTAAAACGTGACTAAACATATTTTTACTAAGAGTAATGTCACGAGTATAGTATCCGCAATAACTCCTGCCACAAGTGAAGATAACTCATAATTATTTTATGACGTTCGTAAACGAGTTTTCGGGCTATCCTTACTTTACAAACAGAACTATGCATCGAAGGCTATAAACTATATGTATTACAAACATTATTCGAATATATTTCGAAATAAATACCGATGCTTTTAATGTATCCATCCTACATGACATTAAATTACCTAATCATAGGTCACGACTTTTCGATTTTAACTTTCCACTTGGAACCCTATCATTCAGCAACCGGTTTGAAGTTTTCGCTCAATTAATTCCAAATCATATTGATTTTGTACATCAATTCGATCCGTACTCTTCATTATAAGATTTATAAGCCTTATTATGCAATTTGAAAACAAACAGATATTTCAACAATATTCTATGTTATTTCTTCTGTTACACACTTTGTGTTGAATATCATTACTGACAATAATGAAACAAAGTTAATAAGTTATTTATTTGGATACAACAACACAGTGACGTCCCTTATTTTCTAACATTTAATATGTTAATAAAATGTCTTTGATTTTATCGTGGTTTTTAGCTAAAGTTTACCTAAACTCGTCGGTCAAAGTTATTTGGAAGCAACACCCTTGCAGTAAGACTTGTCATTAGAAAGGCACAATACACGATCGAGTTAATATATCGATTGTACGTATGCCTTTCATAGTTGGTACTTGTTTTACATGTTATTCAGTACCTATAATAAACAGACCTTCGTCTGCATACCTCTCACTACGAAGTTTTAATTATAAACTTAGCTTATAAGTTGCATTGCTGAGTGGTAAGAGCAATTATCCTTTTGTGGGACTAATAATATTGTATTTTTTTTTTATTAAAAGAATAATACAAAATTCTAGTGGCTATTTTACAAAACCGATTTCTATCATGACAAAAAATTTTTTCGCAAAAGCAATCGCAAAGCCAATTGATCTTTACAAAAAATGTACTCACATCGGTAATATCCTCATGTTTTCGTTGTTGGTCAGGAATGTCGCAAGCACTGAGTTAGTTCCTTTCGCCTACTGCAAGCAGGTCTACAGCGGTCGGAGGCCACGCTTGATCTGCCGTTCCAACACCGACACCTCCAATACACTCAGCTTGCCAACCGTCCGCCTCCCCGACACAACTAGCTTGATTTATATGCAGTCCAGTGCTCCGTGACACATGCCTCTCATTGTCTACACACTATGCGTATGAGCATTTCTTTTACTTAGATAATACATTTAACAAAACTTCTTGGTCAAAAGTAACGGTCGATTTTTTAATGTTTAAATGTGTTTGTTATTTAAATCTAAACATCAAAATATACTAAATTTATTTTTGTCAAATGTGCACATTTGAGACGTTATTACTTTTTGGACTTAGTAATAGTTTGTAATATTTTTATATTGTTATTAAAAATCTTTAGTCATAGTTTAGAAATATAAGTAACTAAATCTTTTAAAGTTAGACGATACGAGACACGTGAACATTATGTAAATATAGTTGCGATGCAATACTTAGCAACATCATTTACGGATGTTTTCTCACTTGACTATTTAGATAGTACTTTGGTGATATTGCATTATTCAAATGAATTATAATGTAGAATGCAGACAAGTAACGAGACGTTCTATACTATATATTTATCTGTATTTGTAAATTAAAATAAATATTTTTGTTTCATGGTGCAATTCACTGTCCAATACAGAGGGCATCCTCTATAGAGAAATACATAATTTGTGGGATATGTGAGGCAAACTACATTGCCCCTGATATTTTTTTCTATAAAATAGTAAGATATTAAATAGTTCGGATTATATATAGGTATGTATATAAATTATAATTTAAAAGGGTCATAAACGACATTACATTACGTGGTCATAAATCCTCAATAAAATTTTTATGTATACATGGCTTATGATGTTATTTCTTAAATAAGCATTTTAATCTGACTATTACACTAAAAAAATACCAGTTGGTTATTATGTTGTGCTTATTCGATAATCTAAAACTTGCCAGTTTATTATTTCTCTTTTATGATATGAATTATACTTTTGTTCAAATAAATTCAACGGAATTATTACAAAATAGCCATAAAAGTTTTTAGGTGCATTAGGTTTATGAGCAATTATTAATTTGATTTCAACTTTAAACTTCTAATTAGCTTAGGAATAGCGCCACAAATTAGAATTGGATAGCTTAATAAAGCATGCTTTATTTTATAGGAACCGTTATTGTCGTACAATATGTGCAAAGACATGGATTTATTTTGTATTCCATTAAACATATTTTATAAATATTATAATTTCGTCGCCTAATTTTTTCAATTATTTTCTAAAGTTCCAATCTTACTTAGAACATAATGTACGTAGAAGAACTCGTACTTAGGTATAATAAAAACAAAAAATAATTTCAATGACTCCTTAAAAAAAGTCGATGGAAAGTGATAGTATTCTATAAGTCAAGAAAAAGATGTTGCGTGAAATGTTGTTTGCATTCACGTGACTTATGACCTTTTTCCGGAATCAAATTGATAATAATTAATGTTTTTTTATTAATCGTTGAACTATAAAAATTAAATGAAAACGTCTCTCTGACACTGATAATTCCCGTTATAAATTTGAAATAATATTAGTTTAAGCTTTTTACAAAACATTTTAGCGAATGAACCACTATATTGTTTTTTTTAATTTTGACTCATCTTTTGTCTCACCATAATACTTCTATTTAATTGTATTAATAGCAAGATAAACATTACCTTTATCTCAATAAAGCTAAAAAAAAGACTTCAGGTATTAAACATTATACCTTCTGAGATTTTAATGGCTGCTTAATATTTAAATAAAACGATACTTACCGATTCTCCTCAATATTGCTTTATTTTTAATAATAATGAAAAAAAAAACAAGAAATAAAAATGTTTCTACACGATAGCAAATGAAGAAAAGTCCCGTTAATACATACTTCGTCAATGTTCTCGTATGATCTTATAAGCATTTTGAAACCTTACCTACTACTTACCTACTACAAAGAAAGTTCTTTGTGGTAGGTATGTCTCTTATCGAAACGTTCTTATTAGAACTAGTCTATCTATAATTCACGATAACGTTCATCTATCCCTGTTACCTTTGAATATTTTGAAAATATCTTACAAAATATTTCAAATTTTACTAGTGCAGTTTCTAAAATTGAGTTCCAAGCTTGTCTTCCCCATTCAAGAGAACCGGAGTTATTTATATGCGAATGTACTCTTTGCCAGGAATTATTTAGTTTTAATATTATTCTATTTGTAACCACGCTAGGGCTGAGACTTTTTTTTTAGATTCGGCTTGTCTGTTTCTGTCAGTCCTAATGGCTTTGACAGAATACCCGGGATGGATGGGTGGCCGATGGGGCCTTCCCGTTATATCGACGCCTGTAATCTAAAGCTGTAAAAAATTAACCTCTGGTTAACATACCTTGTTTTATTTATCATTTTGTTGATAAAATGGCTTCCACATTTTTTCCAATTCCAGTTCTTTATGTACGCCCTATACTACGTACATATATACGACTTGTATCAAAACTTAATCTATACTAATATTATAAAGCTGAAGAGTTTGTTTGTTTGTTTGAAAGCGCTAATCTCCGAAACTACTGGTTCGAATTGAATAATTCTTTTTGTGTTGGATAGTCCAGTTATCGAGGAAGGCTGTGGGCTATATAACATCACGCTACAACCAATAGGAGCAAAGATATAGTGGTAAATGTGTAAAAAACGGGAGAAATTATTTCATCTTTGAAGCCTTCCGTTGCGTGCGCCGTCAAAACGGTTCAAGATACACAAAAAATATGTATTAAAGAATAATAGCGCTTTTAATGCTCTAAAAAACAGTCCGCGACATTATATGTCTATCTTTTAAGAATAACTCACAAAAACCGTTTTTATGGTACCTAATTTGGTTGAAATAATTTGTTTAAGTTGTATCAACATAATAATATTAATCTTTATTCAAATAAACAAATAAATAAGTTTTTGGTTAAGAGTACTTCATTGTGAATTAAAAAAAACAGGTTTTATCCTGAAAATTCTACGGTAACTCGACTATTCCGAAAACCCCGCAAGAACGGGAACTATGTGGGAAGAACCAAAAATCTGCCGGAAGTCACTATTCCACGCGGACGAAGTCGCGGCAAAAGCTAGTAAAATTTATAAACCATCAACAGTATGTAATGACATATAACAACTTTTTAATAAATCTAAATGTAGATATTCTCACCACAACTTTCTTCTAAATTGTATCTTCGTCAGCTTCTTTTATGTGGCTCTGTGATCACATTCAGACTCATTTTGAAAGCAAAAAAAATGAGTTAAGATTACTTTTTACGAACGACGATGAGTAGTAATGTTATAAATATGAACCATAAAACCAAAACCTATGTTATATGATAGCTGAACAAATTTCTTTAAGGCCATTGGTTGTCAGTACCACTTCTATATTGTAAAAAGTATAGGTAGAGATATCGCTGATCTCTTTTTAGCACAAAATTAAACTAAATATAAGGTCCCTTACCTTCGATCCAATGATGGCTTCTATTAAAGCGATCCCCTTTGAATACCTGAAAGTTGCCCAGAAGATATGATTTTTAATTTACTTGCTCTTATTTTGGCACACAAATATAGTCATCTGCCATTGAGTCTTGATACGATCCCTGAACTAAATATAAAATTCGAGGTATTCATTTTAAGTGCCCTGAAGATGACCTGAAAGCGTTACGAAAATACCATAGAAGGGACCCCTAAGGAAGAATGGACCGACTCTTTTTATCAGCGGTTCCATCGAATGCGAATGGTTCTCTTGAAGAATGAATAAAGATTGACAAATTAGATCTGAATTCTGTTTGAATTTCACATATTTTTAATACTTCATCGTAAAAAGAGACTATAATCTGTTTCATATACATATATATGAATTGAAACTATATATGTAGGTATATATTTTCCATTCTTTTATTAAGATACTGTCATATAAGTAACACTGTATTAAGAATTATGTGGCTTGTATAATAAAATCAGAAAAAATTTTAGTAAATATTAGCAAGCGGTAGGATGTGTAGCAGTGCCTATTTAAAATTATTAGCAAAAACAACGTATAGGTTTCAATAAAATAACAAATATTCTGTAACAAGAATTTATGCAAAAAAAAGTAATATATTTCTTATAGTAAATTGGTTTTTAGTAACAGAAATTTAATATCTTTTCACAAGGTTGCAATTTCATGACAATATTATAGCCTTATAATTTATAACATTCGAACGAGCAGTGGCGGCGTAAGGCGTGGGCGACGTGGGCCATCGCCTACGACCTCGCGGTACAAGGGGCCTCGCGCCTCAAAAATTTTTAAAGCGAGAATTTTAAAAAATATATCTTATTTTTCTTCCTGGCAATTTCCCAGCTTTAACCAGGGTCTGCCTTACATGTTATGAATAGTTTTGGCTATTTGTTTTTACGACCGGTTGCCTGCCTGACATCAACCCTTTTTGGGAATCAGAATTAATTAAACCTATTTTGACAAGAATAGTGTTTAAATGTTTTAATAATATTTAGCAAATAAATAGATAGAGTTTAAGTATATTGATTGCCCCGAAAACAGTGACATTTTTTAATTGTTTATGTTTTCTTTCTGATTTGTAATACATCGGTACCTGTAAGTGTACTCGTCTATTTTACATAAAGTAAGAAATATTTAATTGGTAATAAGTATGTAACGCAGTAATTACTTGTATATAAAATACGCTTTATAGTGTCTTTTGAACGAAACCAAAGCTTTAAGGGTAAAAAATGTATCAACGTTTAAGTTTTTAAAACTAGCAGGTAGTAAGAGCTTCAAGTTGCCATAGAATAGGGCCTCGCGAAATCTGTCTTGCCCACATCAAATTTAGGTCTTGCCCCGCCACTGCGAACGAGTCACGTAGCCTGCCACATTTTAAAATAATTAATTAATCGGGGGCCCAGACGAAGCTTTAAAAAAGTTTGTCACAAGCGATACTCAAGTCTTTCATTAAATTAAACATTTACTCATTACGTATTACCGATTCTTCCTTAAAATTCACTTAGGTACTTAGTTCAGTAAATAATTCAAATAACATAAACACAAAGGAAAAAGTATCGATGAACCCCAAGATATCTCATATAGTTATAATCCTTTTATTAAAAACTAGCTTTTGCCGCGACTCCGTCCGCGTGGAATAGTGACTTCCGGCAGATTTTTGGTTCTTCCCACATAGTTCCCGTTCTTGCTGGGTTTTCGGAATGGTCGAGTTCCCGTAGAGTTTTCAGGATAAAACCTATGTTTTTTTTAATTCACAATGAAGTACTCTTAACCAAAAACATATTTATTTGTTTACTAGTTTTTGCCCGCGACTTCGTCCGCGTTAGTTTGGTCAAGAGTAATATATGTAGGTATAGCTGACCAGGCAGTGGTGGCCTAGTGGTTAAAGGGCCCGCTTCTCGTTGCCGAGGGCGCGGGTTCGATCCTGGCCCGGGCAAGTACCAATGTGATTTTTTCGAGTCATATGTACTTTCTAAGAGTATTTAGACATCACTGATTTATGTTGATTCCCAAAGAGAGGGTTGATGTCAGGCACTCGGCCGGTCGTAAAAACAAATAGCCAAAACTATTCACAAACATGTAAGGCAGACCCTGGCTATAGCTGGGAAATTGCCAGGTAGAAGAAGAATCTGACCAGGCAAACTCTATTCCGTCTTAGAGGCCATAAATAATCAGGTTTTTCCTGTTTCAATCAAACAGAATGATTGACATATTAGTTAGTTGTCAAATCTAATGTAAAAAAAAAACGTTTGTATGGGAAATAGAAAAGGGCTATTTTTAGGGTTTTCCCGGCAATTATTCCAATTTTTCTCACCTTTTAAACCTTTCCTGGACTTCCAGGAGTATTTCAAGACTAAAATTAGCCAAATCGGTTCAGCCGTTCTCGAGTTTTAGCGAGACTAAGGAACAGCAATCCATTTTTATATACATAGAAGATTTGAATAAAGATTTTATAAAATTATTTCGACCAAATTAGGTACCATAAAAACGGTTTTTGTGAGTTAATCTTAAAAGATAGATATATACTGTCCCGGACTGTTTTTTAGATCATTAAAAGAGCTATTATTCTTTAATACATATTTTTTGTGTATCTTGAACCGTTTTCACGGCGCACGCAACGGAAGGCTTCAAAGATGGAATAATTTCTCCCGATTTTTACACATTTACCACTTTATCTTTGATACTATTGGTCGTAGCGTGATGTTATATAGCCCACAGCCTTCCTCGATAACTGGACTATCCAACACAAAAAGAATTATTCAATTCGAACCAGTAGTTTCGGAGATTAGCGCTTTCAAACAAACAAACAAACTCTTCAGCTTTATAATATTAGTATAGATTTACTGTAATCTTGGTTGACTCCAACTTGGATTAAATTTTTATCTTCGTAGCAGATCATCCTTTCTTAGGCACTCTCGGTTTCTAGAGGGAAAAATATCATATCTAAAGAGAAAAAACAAAGCTGGCATTGCAACCGCATTCGTGTAACAAAATTCTTGTACATTCATAAATCTGTGAGCATGGATTTTATCACGTTTGTTATTTTTTATTGACAGTTTTGACAAGAACTCAACTGGCAAAACACAATTGTAATTGATGAAAATAAATCTAAACCTTCTTATTCAATCTAAATTGTGCCGCTTTTTGCGGTCTAGGTTCCTGCTTCCTTTCCATTTGGAAGACTATTCTTTGGTTTGCAAGTCGCAAGCATAAACTCATGATTCTCTAGGAGTTATGGTCCTTTGGGAAGTTTATTTTGCGCGAAATTCTGCAACGTCCGAATGAATATCTCCGCCATCCATTATATCTCAAATAGTTGTAAAAATCCAATCTTAGGAGTCAATAGTCATGTTTATATTCTCAACAACTTATGTAACGAGACTGTATTAAATTTAGCTACCTAATACTATTTGCTTTCTCTAAGTTAAACTTTTGGCGGGACTCAAGATAAAAAATATATAAAAAAGGTCCGTATGCCAGGTGGTAATGCTTAATACAATATTTTCATGCACGAATTATGGTACTGCGCATTGGCTGAGACCAACTTTACTATCATTTATTTTAGCACTTGACTTGCGAAAAGACTCCAATCCTTTTTTTTCTCTTCAATTATTTCATTTTCTAAGAGTGAATTGTCACGAGTAAAACAATTTTCTGTATTAGAAGCTATGGTTCTAAAAACACAAACAACACTGTACGACGATAAACGTATACTGACGACTCAGTCTATACTAAATATTTCTCGTAATATAGCTTCTACTGAGAGATGTTTGGTTTGAATGTAGAGAGTAAGGAGACTATATACAGTTTATAGTCTCCTTAGTCGGGAGAAAGGGACCCAATACAAAGGCGAAATATTACCATTAAAATTGCTTTTTTAAAACCGGTGGCAGTAGTATAATAATATTTTAGAAAAATATACGAAGTCACGCGGTGGTGTAGATGAGTAATACTTTGCAGCGCTCGTACGCCAAGAAACATTGATTTTATGAAAAAAATTGTTCATACATAAATTATAGGAAATTTTGTCTGATTTAATTACATAACTATTTTTTCGGATAATGCGTCGGAAAGGAAATATCCCTAAAGAACCGTTTTTATGCGTCATTTTTCCAATATGGCGGCGCGAGGGGTGGGAGCACGAGGAGGCAAACTTGATATTCGAATAGAGCATAACGAAATCTATATTACCACCAATTTTCAAAAGTCCCAGGAAACTTTCCAGGCAAACCCTTTTTTTGCACCAAATGACTGGACTATTAACAGAGAGACATCACACGATCAATTATAACTATTGGTATGTAAAAAAACGTGTCCCTATTTTTCTTTATTATAATTATTTAATATAGTATAAATTCAGTTGCTTCAGGAAGTAGTTTAGAACGTTTAATTCAACCTTCTACTCATTTAAAAATGTACAGTAAAAACAGACATTTAAAAAAATTGTCGTAGTAATTCTAAATACTTTTAATACATATTGAAACTTATAAACTATATATAATATATAGCTTATAAGTTTTATTGCTTTTAAAATTACTTTATTATTAAATTGAAAAAAACTATATTGGTTTTTGCTTGATGATAGCAACACTGAGCCGAATATTGATCCATCAACAAAGTGGAACGTTCATCATTGATCATATTCCAAGACTGCACTTTGCAGTATTTCTAGTTCTGTGATTGTGAGACTAGGACGTGTGTTGCTTTATACAAGTGTAATTTAATAAAGATCTAACTTGCTTAAAATTTTTTATCATTATTATTTAGTCTTACTAAAACCATATTAGTGAAGTGTTTCAGTTCTTTCATTCATACTATAATAAAAAAATCCATGGTTGTGATTTAGTATTCCTTTAAAATGCTGCTTTTAAGTCTATTTTTGGTTTCGTTGACATCAATTCAAGCAGAAAAAACTGTTAAATATGCGGCGGTTGTCTTCAGGCACGGCGATAGAACCCCTGTAAATCAATTTCCAACCGATCCCTATAACAACCAATCGCTTTGGCCGGTAAAATTTGGAGAACTCACGAATTTGGGTAAAAAACAACATTACATGCTGGGCAAATGGATAAGAAAACGTTATTCGGTAAGGAATGTTTTTTATTGATTTTTTAAACTGCGTTAAGTAATAAGTAATTCCTTTGTCTGCATTTTGGCACATGCGCACGCGAAACTTAGGTTTCAAATAATCAATAGATGCTGCGAAATATTTTTTAACCGACTTCAAAAAAAGAGGTCTTATTTAAATTCTAATTAAGTTCTTGCGTACCTAGAGTGTTTGAAGTAATAGATTTAAATTATTTTCAAAAATAAAAGTACTATATGCTCTGCTGCTTGCAAGTTATTACATTTAAGATTTTTTCTTTTGTTTTATTGTGTTAAACAAGTTTTTCAGATAGTAGATTATTCTTAAAGAAATATCTTTATTAAATGCTCTGTAACTACCCCCAAGATTTATAATAAACCTTGTCCTGTAAAACTCTTTTGAAACCAAAGCAATGCACTATTAACATTATTTCTTATATATTTGATTTAAATACTATTGACTGCTATACTATAATACAAAATGTTTATGTTTAATTTAATCCTTGATCTTTCTTTTCAAGAATTTGATATCCAAGCAATTTGATCCATCGGAAGTGTACATCAGATCAACAGATGTTGATCGGACACTAATGTCTGCCCAAGCAAATTTAGCAGGTAAGATAATTGTCATTTTATTTATATTAGATATGAAATATGAGTCTTTTAAAGCTTGTCACATATTAGATACATCCTTGCCAACACAATAAACAATTACAACTACAATACTATAAATTTATTACTAAAATAGATGATACATATTGAGATGTAATCTGCTGATCAGTTCATTCACAGAAATCGCTCAAGATTATAGATTTTGAAACATTAAACATATTTATAAATTAATGTCAAAGCTTTATGTGATAACATAATCACAGGTCCATGTAATAATATATTTTTAAACTTGTTTACATGATTGCTAAATTTATTGAAGTGTACATTTGTATCAAAATTGTTATTTGTGCTAAAAGTTAATAAAAAATCCTGATATAAATATATGGGTCTCCAATAAAATTTATTTATTAAGTAAGAATCAATGTTTTCTACAAATGAGCATATGTACCTTCATACCAACATCAATCTATTAGTTACCTTGTGACAAAACCGAGGCTGTCATACCTATTCACATAGAAAAAGCTGAACTGTCTTAAGAAATTTTACCTTGATATATCTAATACAAATGGAAAAGATAAGTACCTATAATAACCGTATGAAGCATGACTAAAGAAAAAATATTAATATGACATTAATGTTTTCCTGCAATGCCATAAAAAAATTTTTTGTAATATGCACCATATCGATTGAATATTTTATTAGAACTTAGCGCGCATGCGTCAGAATGCATCTATCGATTTTCGCCGTTCAGGCCCCAAAACGGCGGGCTATTTCTATCATGAAACTAGGGCTTCAATTCACTGTAGGTTTTTTGACAAGATGGATTGAGCGATTGAAAATTATATTACTGTAGAACAAAATACCCTATTCTGATAAGTGGAATAAACGATACTATAAAAAAATATTAATTAAAAATACTTATTTAAATAATTTTATAATTAAGGTGCAATTAACGACACCTATATCTAAATTACGTCGGTTTTTAGAATTTCTTTGTTCTAACTAAATAATTCTGAAGGTAAAACGAAACTGTTTGAAATTAAACAAAGAAACCAAATACCAATAAAATAATTATTTTTTAAATGTTAACTAAAACACTATTTCAAGACAAGTTTTTCCTATGACTTCATCAGCATAGAATTCGGTTTTTACTTAAAGACAAATGTTTAAAGTGTCATAAAATAATAAGTACTCGTGGTAATCAATCAGCAACGGCGCCATAGGCTATCACGTGACGTCATATACAATATAAGTTTTATTTCTTGACTGTCAAGGAACTACTTTAAAGGGCGAAAAAATTATAGCCGATATTATTCTTATATCTGACCTATATTATTCTAAAGTTTGATTATTTTAATTAATTAGTAGTAAGGTAATATTTGTTAGTGATTTGATATTTTGCAAGTAAATAAAAATATCTATTTGAATCGCTAGGGTTATATCCTCCAACTGGAAAATCTGTATGGAATAAAAATTTGTTGTGGCAACCAATACCTGTTCATACAAAGCCGGAAAAAGAAGACGAGCTATTAGCAATGAAAAGGAAATGCATTCCATATATCAAGGAAAAAGAGAAATATGAAGACTCACCCCCTTATAAAGACAGACTCAGCAAATATAATGAACTTATGGAGTGAGTGTATAGAAAATAAAACACTGTCAACCTTAGAATGGCTAACTAACTTATATAGTAACTACTCAATATTTTGAAACAATATTTTTATTACATTATAAAATATTAATCTGTTTTAGTTATTTGACTGCTTACACGGGAATGAAAATCAAAGACTATACGGACATTAATGATATATATAATGTCCTCTTTATTGAGTCTTTATACAACTTTACTTTGCCTTCGTGGACTCAGTCTGTGTATCCTGATAAAATGAAAGAACCAGCATGTTACAGGTGGACTATTATTATTTATCAAATAACTGCCTTGTAGAGATTGTTCTCTAACATATATTTACATCATATATTACAGTTTCTCTACAGCTGCTGCCACACCTCTAATGGCTCGTTTACTGGTTGGACCGTTATTTAAAGAAATTGTGACAACAATGGATAATGTAATCGCGAACAAAGATGATTCTATTAAATTATCCATATATAGCGGCCATGATTTTACAATAGGTAATATTCTTACTGCATTGGATGTTTTTGATGGAAACTGCCCGGCATACACCTCAACCATAATTTTCGAACTTTTGGAAGGTAATTAACGAAGAAATTCGGTCTATTGGTAATAAAAATATTAACTCAAATGTTAACAGTTTTCTTTTAACCTTCTAGATAGCGACACCAAAAAACATTTCATCCAGGTATCTTACAGGAACACTGTTGAATTAGTTGAACCAAAAATTTTAGACCTACCACACTGCGGTAAAATTTGCTCATACAAAAAATTCATTGACTTGTATGATAATCTTATCACGGTTGACTGGACTCACGAATGCAACAAAAAGGTAAATACATACCATTAAAAACTTCATTTGATTTAAAATGAATACATTCAGTATTCTTTATTGCAAATTGTGTACTGTTACTTCAGTCCATTAAAAATCTCAGCTTAGAAAAGTTTTACAACTTATTCAAATACATGGTTGTAGTGAATATAACATTCAAAACTTTTACATACAGCAGAAGAAACCTAACAAAGTAAACATATAATAACTCATTATTATTAAAAAAGAAATACCAAGATTATCTTTTTAATAACTATGAAAAGGTAATTACGAGATATAATATCAAAATTATAAGTAAGTGTATTAAAAACTATATGACATGTTATGGTTTTTGTAAACATTAGTTCACATTTCCATATTATGCTTTTATAAAAAAAAAAAACATCTTAATAAAACTAAAAAGTCTAAAAATATAATATGTTGTAATGAAATCATTTCAATTAAGTAGTATCATAGCTAGGGTAGTTTCAAATAATTAGATATTGACCATTTTCAAGCAGAATAGTTAGTTGTAAATGATTATAATCAAATAGTTGATGTACTCAATTGCTTTTTCTGTCTACCTTTATTTTTATTATGATTAACTTTTTTCTAAATCTGCCCTTCTCTTTATTTTCTTCCTTAATTTGTTATGAATCAACTCAAAAAATGTTATTTAATAATTTTAGAATAGCATAATATACTGACAATAATAAAATATAAAAATATTTTTTGTACTATGCAATAATAAAAAGTGGTTTATAAGACAGTTGTAATAAAAAACTCATTTAATTTTAGATGTCGATAATGTTTGCTATTGCATTCTTTGCTTCTGTGTTCACTGTCTTGTATTTCGTCCACAAGACTCACTTTGAAAGGATTACTAACCAACACAGGTATGTAATTAAATATAAAATGTTATTACAACAACAACTATTAAGTACCTACTTTCTATACAACAATTCATTTAAAGGGCAGTGTACTTCTCCCAGATGCTTGTCCCAGTTAAGATCTTTAAAATTATGAATATTACTAACACTTTTATGAGTACTTATGGATGAATTTTTATGAGAAACAAACTTCAAGTTCATCAGTAACTTTTTTTAAATACATAATTTTATTATGACAAGACTAGAAGTTTAAAAATTTAGCTGAAATAATTTTATTTGCAGTTAATATTAATGTAAATATTAAAAAGCCATTGGTTTTATAGCATCTGTTGCTTCAAGATTTTTTCTTTGACACTATACTCTTACAATTCTGTGTGATATCTTATGTAACAGAGATATTTTTTCGAAATGATCCAAAGAAGCTCATAATTGTAATAATATTTTAATATATTTAATTTCTTTTTCAGGATTCAATTTGCTTATGCCAATGTAATGAACCAGAATGCTCGGCAAGAGAAGTTCTCGTACATATGATGGTTCATGATAATGAATAGCCTGATTCTCAGCTGCTATTCACTTTTGCTAGCATTCAAACTGTTCAACAAGTTTCATATTAGCCTCTTTCATGCTGAGGTGTTCGATGAGGGAGAGTTCTAAATTGACTTAAAAGGTGTTTACATGGAGGTTGGTTTCCATCAAAGAGAAGTGTATAGAAGATGGCAAGACTTAGCTACATATTATTTCTTAAGTGTACTTAATATTTCTTTGTATACTTTCACAATGTAATTCTGTGAATCTTAGGACTATGAGACTGATGTAGACATTGTGATATGAAATTTGTAGTTACTATACTAAAATTTTTATTACAAAATTATTAGGGAAAAATTATTTTGAAAGAATTTTTTAATACTATATTTATATATCGCACAAACCTATGTGCCCTCAAATATTTTATTCTCAACTTATTTTAATTCATAATGTAGCAAAGTCTCGTAAAGCTGTGGCGATAACTTTTAAAAGTTTTAATTGTAATGAAAAAAAAAATGTAGCAGTCATTTTTAAAATATTAAAGTGTATTAATAAGCTGTGACTGTAACTGTTAAAAGTTTTAATGTAGTAAAACAAGTTTGAAAACTTAAAAATCATTGTAGTAAACCATTAAAATTCAACTTAAATTATTATATTATAAACCATAATTTAGAATGTTCCATATTCAATTTATTAGTGACTTGAGTAATGTTTGTACAGAGCAAATATTATGCAAGTAACAACATATCTTATAACAATTATTTAAAAAAATGCATGTTCTCTTAGTGTTGTTAATAAATAAGTATTCAATAAAAATATTAAATGTTCCAAAATTGTCATGGAGTATTTAGACTATGAAGTATGGAAACTCTATGATGATGTATTTTAATGTTAGGTGTTTGTTGTCCCATTGCAGGGTAAAATCCCTCTGCCTTCCCTCCTGTTATTTATAAAAAAAAAACCAATAGCTTTTGATGTCTATATTGTCTTAGGTATATCAAAATATTTGTGTAGTATTTACAGGCCTCATTTAAAAAGGCAAATATATTTAAGTGTATTAAAACAATTTTTATCTTTGATGTTCTGAATCCTATGTGTCTATATGGTCAATATAATCTAAATGTTTTGGCTCTTTGTGGTGTATATTATATGATCGACCAGATTGACCTACTAATTTTAGTATACTGTGTATAACATTGTATTGATACTCTATTTTGAGTGCACTTAAAGTGTACTTTTCAAATAATAATTGTATTTACTGCGGTGTATATGTGATTCAACTGCAGTTTTAGGAATAGGTAAACATAATTCTTATCATCTTATATTTTACTAGATTTTTTTTACAAGTTACTAAACTGGTCAATTCCTATTGCATTTAAATATTGTTTAAGTTTTTAACTTGAGTCTGACTAAGTCAACATTTTTAAAGGTATGGAAAATTACTGCAGGTGGTTTAAATTTTTCAGTGTTACTTTGTAGCTGTTAAGTTACTATTCAGAGTTTTATTATGTAAATTTATAGCTGCTCTTCATTTTTATATAAAATAAAACAAGATTGTCATGGATAGAGGAGATATCTTGAAAGATTTAACAACAATGCCAAATTAGTATAAGGTGGGTAGAGCATGTAAGGCTAAATAATTAAATTATAATGTAGCCATTCAAATTCAACTTCATACTTAAGACAAAAGTTTTAACAAGTTTTCAGAAATATATAGTAAATAGCAGAAGAATGCCATAATATATCCACCTCGGAAGTAAATTTCAAAGATGATGTAATATTGTGAGTCTATAATATATTTAGTGGAGTAAGACTGATAAAATTTGGTGACTGGTATGAATAATTTAAAAAATTATGCAAATAATTTCTGTTTGCTTGTATTCAACTCTATTTTACCAAATCATAATAGACTTATGTTCTTATTATACATTTCTTATTTTTTTGCAAAACTTAAGGAAATTTTAAAATTAAAGTTTATTTAGTTAATATGTTTTCTCTGCCTTGTTTATCTTCTGCCTTTGTATTTCAAGTTTGTGGGTTTATTTATTAAGTAGGTTTTAAATTTTTATTAGATTTTTTTATAGAAATATTGCATAGATTCTTTAAGTTTTTTTATGAAAACCAAAATTTATGATACTTACAGTGACTAGCTTGTTATATTTTTTTGTACCAAAAGTTTTATATTTACATTAGATTTTTAACTGCTGTTTTGTTATTTCATATATTTTCGGTTTTTAATATAATTTAAAAAAGAATGTGTTGTATTATTTTAACACCTACCAAATTAAGTCTTAAATAAACAGTTATTTATGGACATCAGTGATAGTAAAAAAAATATTTAAAATAAGAAACTCGAAAATATTAAAGCCAAGCAGTCAGGCACAGTAACCAACTAAACATTCATAAAAAGAACCTTAGCTGTATTAACATTTAATTTAAATTTCATAAAATCATAATATTTTTGTATCTAAAAATTGTGAACATTAAAGTTTTCTAACTTCACTGATTAGTACTTTTTTTTCATCATACCAGATACAATTTATCTATTTTTAACTTATTGAATTCAAAATATATTTTACATATCGTGTTTTTATTCCAACAACGATGCAATATGTATATTTTAATCAATTTCTTATTAGATTGTTTTACAGTGAGAATATACAACTCATAGTAGTACAGTGTTAAGAACCTAAGAAACCATAATATATACACTTCCATCTTTATACTTTTATTGCTTTCAAAAAACACTGAGCATTCATTGTCATGTAACGATTAAATTAGCATGTATTCATAGGCAAAAATTGCCTTACATAATTTTGAAAAAGAGCTGATACTTTTACTCTACTGAATAGATATTAAGTTATTATTGCTTAGAACTACTGCAAGACAAACGACTTTAAAATCGGTCGATTTGCCTGAGAGCAAGTAACAAGAATTGCCACAGCAGATAGACACATAAACACACAGACCTCGTCTTCAAAATAATCGTCGTAATGCAGTGTCGGGAGATAAAAAAATGTGAAAGCTTACTTAGATGTTCCAACTTAACATTGCCTAAATAAATTTAAATTGTGTTTATGCTTTGTAATCTGATAGAGTAATATAACATACATAATAAAATTAGACCACATTGCATAACTCTTTATTTCAAAAGGTTTTAAATAAAATAATCAACTTTATGGTATAATTTGAGTTATAAACTATAAAGAATTAAACTGTAATCAAATAAATTCATACAAAATAACTTTGTGTCTTCAGAGTTCAGTGTATAAGTAAATAAGTATAGCAACACTATCCATAGACTTCTTTAATCATAAGCCGTAACTTTCACAGAGTACATCATAACAGAAACTTCGTAACTGTCAAGTGGAGTGTATCGTTTCGAATGATTTCGGTAAAATTGGACATGGAGATTAAATTTTGAATAATATTGACGAAATATAAGAAAGTTATAAGTGTTGGATTTGTGAGCAAAAATGTTAAGAGGAAGACAGTCTTCACGTCGTTGACAGTTTTCTTTGGGATATTAATGTCTATACGGTTTGTTCTCTCTTGTTCATAATTTGGTCACGTCTTTATTATTTTAAGTCTTAATAATGATACCAATAAGTTAAAGAGTAACACACCAAATTGAATGCGTTTTAAATTTTAAGTCCATTTCTTGGCACCCATACTGTAATAGGTTTTAATCAATCTTCAAATTTCTCTGTTGCTCAATAGAACATTTAGTAGTATTACCTGATATAATATTATGTCTACTACAACTACCCTCCGTTGAAAAGACAATGTGGTTAATTAAATTTACCTAGTGATAGATGATTTTTTTAAAAAATTGGTCTGTCTAATTATTAACACGAAAAAAACCCTTTACATTTTATATTTCTGTAGATAATTGCTAGAGTTATATCCATTCTCGAATAAGGAAAATGATTTTCAATGTATATAATGCTTTTGGATTCTACCCTTTTATGCTTTTAATGTGGTGAGTATTGCAGATTTTCTTTTTTTTTTTAGTTGAATTAACTTTAATAAATAGACTATATGGCACTTATACTGTAGTTTAAAAACTAACTGCATAAGTTCATTATACCACACAGTAGATGGACCCAAAGTGAATACAAATGGTTTGGAGAATTATAAAGTACCCACATCAGGGGTCCTGAATATTTAAATACCAATTTGTTTAATAGGGAAGTAGAATTGACTTATCTGCATATTTTTCAAAATAATCCTTTCTAAGGATTGCATCCTTGTAAGTATGGTATAATGTGTAGATTCTGTTTCACTAAGCAAAGAGTAATAATTTAGATACTCATAAATGTGCCAGTTCCCAATGTAGGTATATTGGCATCATTATAATTTTACATGTTTTCCGTGGAAACTAAATAGCCTTAGAATATTTTCGTATTTTAATATAAAACATCATATAATTTATTACAATTATTTTCTAATGGATTTGACAATTTCTCTAAAATTTTTTACATTTTACTAACCTTAAATATTTTTATTCATCAATAGAAAAAATATTGTGTTAAATTTTACAATTTTACAGTTGCTTACAGCAGTGGAACATTTAATGTTTATTTAGTTAATCTAGTTGGTATTTTTAAAACTAAGATTTAGGGTATGATAACTTAAATGTAGTCATAGATAACAAATATATGCTCAAAATTATTGAT